GCGCTACTGCGCATAGCCCTGTGATATTCACTAGGTCGCACACATAAGTACATATCTTACTATTCCGCCAAAAAGCGCATTCGCGGAGGGTCTCTAGTCACCTCTACCTGCATGAGCCGACGGCCGATTCTTCGCCGCTCGTGTGGACTCCGCCAAACCATGCAATTTACATAATGACACTTTCGAATAATATCACTTGAAATATATATGAAAATATAATTGTCAATCAATTGCATCCATTGGTGGGAGGAGGGGTGATGCCAATACGGGATTCCGAGTCCCGTGGTGAAAATGCCACCACTGAATAATCAACTTTTTGCGTTCGGACCAGTGTTGCCTGCTCTTATTGGTACTGCGGGCTATGTACTTCCATCTGTTGTTTGAGACATGCGAGAGTGACGTAATGATTGACGATTAATTGAGTTTGGATTATCATTTTTAAGACATTCCTCCGCGAGGGTCGACACTAGAACCACATGTTATGGAACTGCTTCGCCAATTGTAACGCGCCTGCTTGACCAGGGGCGGTGTGTAATCTTCGGTTTTTACTTCGTCCAACGCTTCATACCTCGTACTTCAACTGACCTTCTTGCGGTCCTCGTCTTCGTACGCGACCCTTGTTATCCGGATTCCCCAGGGGAAATAATCCGGGGAAACCGGGGATGGAACCCTCGACCTTTGAGTTAAGAAACCGATGCTCAACCACTGAGCCATGAGGTGGTCTGAGCATACAAAGTTCAATATAAATCTCATTGAAGCAGTATTTCGGGTCAAAACAACAGGGGAACTGTTTTAATGAGGGAATTGTATTTACAAAAGTAGATATCTTCCACTGACAGAATGGCTTTGCGTGCTTCAATATCTCGAATCCTGCTGCACTATTCAGGTGCTACTCCATGATGGTTATTCATCAAATTAACGATGTTTACCGCAAACACTACACGAGCGAGTTTGGTCTTCCATAACCAAGTCGGTCGTATGTTCAACCAAGTGGGTTGTACAGTATATTGGCCATGTCGCTTTCGTTATGGCACGCGCAAGTTTGACTTACTTCGGCAAGTACGGTTCAATGAAGGCACGAGCAGCACTGGTGCGTTCATAGATTCCTGGCTTGCCGATCTTACCACAGCCATCGCCCCAGGCGACCACCGCCACCAAGCGCACGGTACCGTTTTCTTCGATGGTCAACGGTCCCCCCGAGTCGCGGTTACACGAATCTTCTCCTTTCACCCCTCCAGCACCCAACTCCGTGTCGTACAAGGGCCTTGGCGAGGAGGTCAACGCAGCCGAGGCCCTGGTGTTGTTCCAGGTCGTGACGCTGACCTCCTTGAGCACTGGCGATTGGGGGCCATCCCACGTGACGAATCCCCAGCCGCGTACCCAAGTGAGCACGTCCGCCGGAAAGAATTCAAACGACACCTTCACAGGTTCGATGGTCGTGATGTTGCGGTCCAAGATTGCGATGCCCACGTCGTAGCGATCGGGGTGTTTGATTTCCTGAGTGACATTGGCCAGTTCCCCGTCGGCAAAACCGGTTAAATAGTGCGTGCCCACGACTACAGAACGTAGTTTACCGGTCAAGCAATGCGCCGCTGTCAAAACGACATTGGGGGCGATCAGACTGCCGCCGCACACGGTCACATTATTGGGCGACACCTTGAGCCCAGCCACGTAACGGTGCTTGCCGAGTTGGGCTTCCTGTCCCCCGAGGATTTCGAAACCGTATTCAGGGGCCTCATCGCCCCAAGCAACTTTGGGTAGGGCAATTTGGTCTTGAGCGAAGGCAGCGACGGCCACGGTCAAAGCGAGAAGGAGTGCGAACTTCATGATGGAAATTGGAAAATGAATGGCCAGAGCCGAAGTCAATCCATTCGTTAACGTCAGACTGTGATTGCACTACTTTACTGTAGTACACCAAGACCAAGGTTAACCAAATGGATGGCTGGGATGCGTATAACATACTACTCTGTGCTTTTTTATAGTGTACTACATTTGAGGAAATTTGGCCTATCACGGCGACCCCTGGGCCAAATTGTGAATTTTTCCGCCAATTAAATGGATGCAGTCTGTCATCGACAGCTTTTGATTGGTAGGTATAAACCAATGATATCGATGTATTTCGATGAAACACCTGGTTTTGCTTTCATTGGCTGAAAATATTTGTTGCGTGACTCTCATTGGTCAAACCAAATGTACATTATATTAAAACACACCCATCTGAGACAAATGTACTATGTAGTACATTATATTGAAGCACAGAGTAGTTAGTATGCGCATTCAGCTCTTGTAATTAACCCGCTAGGATGGACGAGTCATCTTTGGCGTTAGTATCCAACAGCGTGAGGTTGTCCACTCGACGTAAAGCTCAACGTAATTCACGTGGGTACGCATATCTGTGGTGAGAAATTTCATTTTCGGTGCCAAATTCGAGATGTCCAATTCTATGTATTTCATCTAATCATACCAATTCTTGAATTCTAGTGGGTAATGCATCACCAATCTTTCGGCAAATCACAGATCCGTCACGTTACATTTACTACGTAGTATCTATCATATTTGGCGTCATAAATATCCAAAAGCGTGGCCGATACCCCGAAATTCTTGTCAGAAAAACCCGCTACTGTATCACATTTCCAAGGGATGAAGGATGCATACATATTGACTGTTAAGTAGCACTTGCATTGATACACTGCGCAAGCATACAATCGTACTATCCGCATACGCTTACTACCTCCTTCGAATTTGTTGGACATGGTCATCCAGTCGCTTCTGTGTTTAATATTCGATGGATAGATTTGACGAATCAGCACAAAAGTCCAAATTTTGGGTACCGTGTAGCGTATATTTTTCTGGACAGTTACATGAGATTTATCCGATGGCGGGAAGGGGTGAGGTTGTGTAAATTATTCTGGACATACAAACTTTCATATATGGATTTTCACCGAATCAACACCTTAAACAATTACATACTTCCTCTGTTTCACATTACTTTTACGATATGGAAAACTCACTTTTTTCACATTACTGTGAACAAATGAATACTATTGGCTCATTTAGGTTAATTACGATCCTATTGGTCAAAAATTCATAGCCTACAAAAGCAGCGACACAGGGCAGGACACATTCGACATCAGGAGACCAGCACGTCTCAAGGCTGCCTTCTTGAGGTGTGGCAAGGCGAAGTGGTTGTCTCCGCTGTGCTCGAGGACCAAACGCATCACTACCTGGAAGGTGAGAAACACGCTCTCCAGCTTGTCGTACGTGAGCTCGTCGAATGCCTCCATGGTGTTGCGGACGACGTCATCCACCGTCCGACTCATCTTCTTGTACTGCAGGCTTTGGATCGACGTGAAGAAACCCAGGTCCAGACATTCAGGTCGGGGCTGTTTACGCATCTTGAACGTCCACCCGTCAGTCGACACGCTCTCGAGCACTGCGTCCGTGATGCCCCCGTGCGGAGTCGCGTTGTCGTGCTGCAAAAGCACGCGGTTGGTGGCGCTGGGGAACGAGGCCTTGATGGCAGGTACGACCTTGTTGATGACGAAGTCACGGTACACAACGGTGTCAACATTTACCAACTTGGTGGCCATAGTCCCAGCGGAACGATTACCTGAGTTGTGCGACGCAAGGCGGACAAATCGCCACATTCCAATCTTTCCGTTGAAGACAACACTCCGGTCGCCGTCAATCCGTGGCCGAGCAACAGCGCCAAGGAACATGACCTTGAGAATGAAGCGCTTGCTCTTCCACGAGCGCCGTGGTTGCGTTTCACCAGGGACGAGGCAAAATGCAACGCGTTCTTCCTTGTTGGCGTCAGTTAGCAGCGATTTGATCCGCGTCGACCGTCGTTCGAACGTTCCCTTCTTAAGGTGACGGTTCAAATTGGCAGGGGACAGACCGGTGGCTGCGGCAAGGTCGCGGAAGGTGGAGCGTTTATCGACTGGGACCGCTTGCACGAGTTGTTGGACATACTCGGCGGTGTAGGCTCGTTTGAGTCCAACCTTTCCCCTTTTTTTGGTCGCCGTGGTGCTGCGATCGCGGAACGTACGCCAGATGTAGCCGACCGTGCGGGGGTCCAAGTTCGGTTGCTCGGCGACATGCTTGTATGCACCACGCTGCAGTTTGTCCTTGCGGAGGAAGGGGTGGAGGTGCTGGATGACCGTCACCTTTTCGTCGCTAGATAGCTCTCGGCGCGTGCGTACGACTTGATTGTCCATGGCGGCAAATTCAACGTTGATACGGTTTGAGTATGTGGTGTAATTTTATTCGGGTGGTTGAGATTTCGGGGCGGTATTTGGCCACGAATTTCTCTCCTGGCGCTTGGCAGCCAATACATCACACCTGTAGTTTTTTATGGGCTTTAAAAAATGATATTCTATATAGAAAATGGGTTAGAAATGAATTTTTGGGGTCGGTGAGAAGTGGTAACGACACAGTAATGTGAAACAGAGGAAGTAGCTGTGAAGTGAAATTAATTTTCAAGGGTAGGAACAATTGAGAGGAAGAGAACTTCAAATATTGTACACAAATGGACAGGTAATATATTGAGTTGTCCTAATTTTGTTCAGACGTTTCGGCTTCATCACAGCAGTCAATGTCTTCATCTGGATGAATGGTGTCTTCGATGGCCATGTTGGTCAACAGGTCTCCAAGTGTGTCATCATCCAAAACAGGTCCCGAAATAAAAAAACCCACATTTGTGGCGAAGTAAATAAACACGCTGGATTGGACAAAGTTTGATTCAATTGCGCAGGCCAATCACAGAGTAGCTTGATTGTAATTGGCTAGTTTCAAATGTTTGAACGAAACGCGTTTCATCACGTTTGACTTCAAAGACAAAGCCGCACCAACATGTACCAGAGGTACAACAATGGGCAACGAAAGGCCCTCCTGGTCAAGTTCCACGTGTCGAATGTCACCAGCGAGCGCCAATTCTGCCGCGAGAACGACATCAAGCCATCAATTTGGGGAGCGTGGCGGGCGAGAGAGAGGACAAGATCATGGAGAGCAAGCACCACAGCCGGCTTGCAACCATCGGTGGCCAAGGCCACAAGCAATTCATTCCCTTCGGACCCACCCTTCTCGAGTTCATGCGTTCACGCCGGGGCGACGAGCGATATGTGCGCGTCTTTCACATGATGACATGGGTAAAAAAGAACCATCATGCGTGGCCGGTGGAGTACCTGTCGACCAAGAAGAACGAGAGTGTCGGGCTCCAGTCCTTCCGGTGCTTGCTCCTTCTCTTCGCAGAACGCCATCGCTATTACTACCGAATGCCATGTGCCAGCAAGCGGATGCAGAAAGTTCTCGATGACGTGTGACTGGGTTATGCCGCGTCGTTCTGGGACAGATATGACCACTGCGACCACAGCAACGTTATCAATGTTGACGAGACCGCCGTGTGCTTTGACATGCCCCGTGGCAAGACGCTGGCCGAGGTGGGCACATCGAGCAAGTACACCTTTGCGCGAGGCACTCGTACTCTGAACGAATGAGTAGGAACCAAGTTGCCTCTGTTGTTCATCGTCAAGAGCCAACCAGATGGCACCATCGAGAAGCAGGAGCTGAGTCATACCCGGCTGGCCATCACTACGCAGTCCAGAAGAATGCGTGGATGAGCGAGCGCGTTTGGTCTATGTACCTCGATGACGTCTTGGTCCCATGTGTGGAAAACACTTCTGTTCTGTTAGTGAACAATTTTAAGTGCCATGTGTCGGAAGAGTCGCAACAAGTTTATGCTATTTTTACAGAATTTTCATTTTTGGGGAAAAACTTGGCACTCCCCGGGACTTGAACCCGGGGCACATCCTCCACCGCCTCATCATCTAACCGTTTTGCTACCCGCCAAGGCCTTGGCTTGAATCCCTGTGCATCGAACCAGTCAAAAACCTTCAATACTTGATATTGAAATTTGCTTTTGCAAGTTCGAAGCAAGTGAAATCACTGGTCAAATCGTTAAGAAATTAGCCAATCAAGCACTGATCACACAACACAACACAAAGTTGAAGCAACGATTTTTATTAAAAATTTCCTGCAAGCAAATCCCCTGTCCATACAAAATGCAAGTCTACGTATATAGTGGCACTGTTCCGACTTTACCGCAAAGCACTGTACTGGGAAGGACGGAATGCAACGCCCACCGAAGATATTTGTGTGTCACATCATACTCAAGTATCAAAATTGGTGACTCTGATTGGCTATAATTTAAATAATGAAAATCAATAAATATGTTAATCGGAAATCCTTCAGGTACTCATAACCTCTTCTAATCAGTTTCACTGTACTAGCTATTGAATGCTGCATTCGGTGATTCTCACCGGGGGTAGGACGGAGTCCCAGGTTACAGGGCTACTGGAGAAAGGTGTATCCGGATGTAATAATTCCCTCATTGAAACAGCATTTCTGGTCAAAACAACAGTGGAACTGTTTTAATGAGAGAATTATTCCCCGGATGGACGACCAAAAAATATGGCCTCCGTTTTTCAGGGTTACTCCGTTACAATTGGGGAAGCGGTTCCACAACATGTGGTTCTAGTATCGGCCCTCGCGGAGGAATGTCTTAATAATGATAATCCAAACTCAATAAACCATGTATTCTTCCCGATGTTGATAAAGTGCGATACAGTAAGTTAGCGTGTTTTTCTGGCAAGAATGTCGACCACGCTATAGGATATTACTTGAAGTACGTAACGTAACGTAGTATTTATGATTGGTTAAATGAGTTTGGATATTTATTTATGACAAGAGGACAAGAGCTGCGTGAGTGCATGTATGATGTTGGCCATGTCACATTCATTATGGCACGCGCAAGTTTGACTTACTTCGGCAAGTACGATCGTACTACCGGTATCCGCATACGCTTCCCGCCTTCGTTATTGTTGGTGGTCGAGGTTTTCTACGCAGTCAAAGATGTAATCACGTTAACGTTAGTACGACTTTTTCGGCGGCAAGTGCAGAATACTAGTACACACGAACCCCCTGTGGAAGAACCGAACTGGGGGAGGAGGCTGTCAAGTGGTGCTTTCCCCTTGCCTGTGTTCACGCCTTTTGACCTCGCCTATCAAGTCGCCCAAACTCTATCGCCTAGTCTATCAACTCAGACAGGCCGAGACAGTGGCCGCTTTATACCTGCATGTTCTGTATATTCTTCATGTCGCTACCCTACCCTAGTGATTGCTCACCCAATCACGGCTCTAGCACAAGGAAAATAGCGCTGATTCTCACATGTCAGTGTTTCCCTTTGGCTGAGGTTTAGCGAATAGGAACGAAGCTAGATAGTTTGAAAATGAGTGAATGCCACTTTTCGTTTTCCCCTGTCCCGCACACTTGGTTGTCCTTGGACACTCTGCGCAAAGTTTCTACACACCGAAGACCAACGCCTACCTCCTGTTTCCTCCTTAGTGACAGGTTATGAGCCCTCCTGCTTCGACCATTACCGCCTACTCCGGCATTCTCCTCGAAGACGCCTACAAGTTCTATGCTGCGTGGCGCACCACGTTTGAGGAAGCGGCAGTGACCGCAGGCTTCTTCTCTCTCTACACTAACGAGACCTATTGCCCCACGTGCATCGAAACCGACGCCTACACTGTCAGCCAGTCCAAGCTCCAGGTGGACAAGATCCGCAACGATGCGAAGTATGCTACGTCTTCTACTACCCAACCTTCGCCTACCTATACTGCTGCTGATGTTCCCTCTTACGAGTCACTGCCACGTTGGGCACACTCAAACAGTCACAACAATCCTTTCAATTCCTGTTTCCACTGTGGCTCGCCTGAACACCGTCTTCCCGACTGCCGCACCATGCGCGATGATGACAGTTGAAACCGCATTCGTGCCTGCGTCCCCAAACAAGTTGTTGACACACACTGCTGTTGGAAACGTGCGTCGTCTCGCAAGATCATTGACGATCATACACAGCATCATCCCGCGACCGCGACGACTACGACGACAACAATGGGAACGATCAGGGTCCCAACAGCAGCTATCCCAGGTGCCATCGTGACGACTCTCGACCGTCTCCCCGAACTTCTACTCGTCGATCGCCTCCACGTTCCTCGCAGTGAGGTCGTTCCTCCGGCCGCTCCTCTCGTGCTCATCACGCCTTTCTACCCCATCATTTACCAACCACTACAACTCAAGTCGTAGCCGCCCCATGTCCCCTTCATCATCCGCCTATCCTCGCCTTTCGTCACCCATCCGTCGCGCTCGTTCATTGCCTCCTAAACGTCGCGCTTCTCCATCACGTCCATCTGCTGGATGGAACACGTCCCAAACCTTTCATCCTTCTTCCACCTTTCTTCGGCGCTCTACATCGGCACCGCCTGCGAAACGCCAACGCCTTCTCAACTACCAAGGCATCAATTCCGCCTACCTCAGCTACAACGACACGTCCTCCATCTTCCTCCACGCCTAATGCCCCCAGTCAGCCTACCTCCACAGCACTCATCGTTCAACCACAGTTCCCACCTCAACAAAACTACATACCACTTCCCCCCGCATCTTCCAAGGTGAATGACTCTCTGCTGCCCCCACTCTCCGCCTATCGTATCGGTGGGGCGTCAGGGCACACCTCATTGCAGGCGTTGATTACTCCTAAATTGTAGAAGTACAGTTGTATAAGTACCTAGTCCAAGTACCTCAAGAAAGTGTGCTATATATATCGCAATGTGCTACAAGTTATTCTAATTCTAGAATATGTTGGTAATACTCAAAATTCATGATACACAGGCCTAATGCACATTAACCAGAAAAAGCAAGGTGAAATAGGCATTTTTATATTCTGCGCAAGGTGAACCCAAACCACCTTGCGAATTCCATAAATAATTATGAAATTGTATTGTTTCAATTAAATATATCTTCAAGCTTGTATTCTTGATTTTTATTTTTCATGTGTCTGTCTATTTTTGAAATTCGCAAGGTAGGTCACCTTGCGAATTCAAAATTGTCCAATTAGATGCCGTGAAATCAGGAAAATCGCTGTTAACGGCGGCGGGTGTTGCGGCGCCAATCAGCGCTTGGGTCACGGCAAGATGCCACGTGGCGGCCGCGTCCGGTACTTCCAGACACATGTCAATGTCGGAATCGGGCAGGTACGTTTTGAGCGGGTACGACCCCGACGGCGTGATCGAATACGAGCACTGGCCCTGGTCCAATATGTGACGGATATACCGCAGCAGCTTGGCGCGCACACGTTCCGATTCCAAGGTCGGACCAAACGCTTGGTTGTTCATCGCTTCGACTTGGTGGAGGGCGGGACAGCCCAGGATCGACGGATTGAGTAGCCGCATACATCGCTCCATGCCTCATCACGCCTTGTTGCGATACATTCTACTCCTGTGATGGCTGTTGATACAAGAGCATTTAGATAATTATGTAGGCTGTGTATGAGAGCAAGATCATGTGATGTGGTATTCAGGACTCGGTCAATTCTAACAGGCCTCAATTTACCACTTGCCTACTAACCCAATGAAATTGGTCATCCCTCATTCCACCATTCAGCCCGTGTTGGTACCGTACATCCCCCTGCCGGTGTATGATCACGTGGTTGCGCGTGCGGTGGCGCAAGACGTCTTGATTGCACCCATCGCAAGTGCTGAAGTGGCGGCTTTAGCACTTTGCAATGGGTGCTACCAAGACCTCTTCCTCCACCGCGTTGGCCCACCAGAGCCACCACGACATTGCAATCCAACCGAGCGCACAACATAATGTTAGCTGTAAGGGGAGAACCACACTTGAAATAGTCGGGGTGAACTCATCAGTTCACAATTCTCCGGTGCAGCATCACACAAAGCTCTACAAAATTCAAGTGTCCAAACCGTTCAAAATTGTAACCTCTACGCCTAGTGTTATAGCCAATCGTGTGCTAGAAACAAGGTGTGATCGACTCTTATTGGATATTAAAAAGTAGCAAGGTGGCTCACCTTGCTAATTCCATTAACAATTAGTACCTTTTAGCCGATCAGACACAATGACCGTATCAGCAATAGGAATACCTGCACTTTGCAGACAACGCAGGAACCAAGTCCAGTGTTCACCGTTTTCAACCGGCACAATTGCGATTCCTACTCAAAAGTTAGGTCGTTCTATAAGCAAACAAATCACCCAGAATGACTAGGTGGTCGTTCGGGTCCTTCATAGTGGCCAGCAACAGAACGCCGTTCGCATTTATCAGATCCTTCAAATGAGCACCTATACTAGATAATACTTCACAACATGATATACGAACATACCATCAAGTGCAATCAGGTTTTGACAATGTTCAAAAGCATCAATACAAAACCGCGGAACAAGAACGCTGAGGCAGAACGTTCCCATTCGTGTTTCAACGAGGGCATACGTTCCAGGGTTTCTTGACTTGATGATTTCAAAGTAGCTTCAAATGCCAAGTTTACAGAGCCGTACAAGTACTTGACAAGTTCTCGCTTCTCTCGACTTGCAGACGAGGTTGATATTGTTTCGCCGCTTGCACTTCGGGAGTGGCCAATTATTTGTTTCCCAGTGAGTTGTCGAGAATCAGAGGCAAGCGCTTTGAGCTCGCTACTTTCTTGGAGCGTTTCCAGTATCTACCATATTATTAGGAATGCGTTGCAATTTCTAGAAGTTTTAGATGTTTCAAACAATTTGTAGAACATTCGGGTGCTTCTAGAAGGTAGTTGATGTTTTGAAACTGAGAAGTAGTTACGAACATGCTGAATGTGCAAGAAGTATCGGTTTCATCACATTTAAGAGTCAATAGCAGCAAACGTATGACTTCGAAAAGGCTGGATGCGGTGTTCAGGAAGAGGTTTGGAACATCGCATGGTTGTGCATCAAGTTCATCGAAGTTATCGATGTCGACTTGTCGGTACGCAAACCAGCTCGAACAAAGAAATCACAACCCTTGCTTGCACAAATCCATTGTCCTGCTACTGCATTCGATACTTCTGACGATGTCGAAATCCAAGCTCTAAACTAAAGGTATCTAAACACTGTCGTAAATACACAAAGTTACCAAAGTCGTGTTATTTGATACAATTGATCGCAATAAGCAAAACATAGTCGATGTCGGCGGCGAAAAAGTCATATGATAGGGCTTTTCGGGGCTGATCCTATGATTGGCTTTTTTTTGACCCGGATAAATCCAATGGCTGGGAGCATAAGTCCAAGACTGGCCCTATCTAAGGGTTATCCGTAAAAAGCTGATCTATAAAGCTGACGGGTGGAGATGCTCTTACCAGCCCCTTAGGGGCTGGTCTGCGAACATTCCCGTCCACGCTTTTTGAAGTATGGACGCAAATACGACTCCTGATTGGCTAAAACGTGAATTTTTCCGGATAACAAACCTCAAAGGAGGGACGCCTGAGTTGAAGCAGGGATGATTCATCCCTGCTTTTGAGTGCGCGTTCCTGCTTTTACACGTGTTCGATACTAGTAGAAATTAAGAAATATTTTTGATATATTTTCAAAATCCTCGAATTAGTTCGGATAACATCCCTGCCTTAAAGCTCCTGCGATTAAATGTTGACGTTCCGCATGCATTTTGATCGATTCGGCTTCTTCATCGGCCTTGTGCGCAGCTTCGAACGCGACAAGTTCTCGGTTGATCAACACCGGCACGTAGTGATTGTTCTCATGCAGCAAAAATAAACTAGAATATGGTTCGATGTCGTCAACCACACACTTCCACATAGCCGGAGTAAGCTTTTTCATGGCTAGCGACCGTTTGTTGGCATAATGTTTGTCGAGGTACCAAACGTCTTCGAGATCGCACTTGCGTTGGAATACGTAGATTGCACGCCCCATCACCCTCGCTAAGTTGCTGATATCCCATGACCCACCCCAAAGAGCTCTTGCTAAGGGCTGTGAAGGCCACACCGGCCGAGGACAGCAAGCTTCCACTATTTCATACCACGAGATTCCTTGTGCTGCTTCACCCATTGTGACGGTCGTAGGGGTTAGACGCACAAATCTAACGAAGGTCTGGAGGTTCGGACTTCAGGACCGGATACTCTCGACTAGGCCAAGAAGAACACAGCAATAATGGAGCAGATCCAATGTTAGGCAAATGTAAAAGTGAACTATCTAAAAGGAGCTAAAGCAAGAAAGGAGCAGATCCAATGTTAGGCAAATGTAAAAGTAACTATCTAAAAGGTAGCTAAAGCTGACGACCTTTGGGGAAAGACTAAAAGGCAAGACGGTCGAATTCGAAGGTAGTCGGTCCGTCGAATAATATACCTTTGCGATGGCAGTACCACAATGTGGTATAGTAGTGCAATGCCATGCTCCAGCTCCGTCACAAGTCCCGCGGCGAAGATTCGACCCTCTCGTCGAAATAGAAATGAATCGACGGAGTTGGGTAGGTGGTGTCGGGTAGGTCAAAAAGGGTAAAAGGTCCAGTTTGCACGTAGCTAGGTTTCTTTGCCACAAAAGTAGTGATGCTGGCGCTGACAACCGACAAAGCCGAGGATAGTGGTGCAGATGGAGGTCGCGTGAAAATGAGTGGTCATGGAGCACGGTACGACGAGGCCACGACAAAATGTACGACGGCACCCGGGACCAGGTGCTGGTAGTCTCAGACTGGACGGACATAATATCGCAGACTGGGCAGATAATTGGACGAAATATATCGGAAAACAAGGGAATAGTTGGTCAAAATAGTCCGTCGGACAACGGGAACTGACTGTAGTCTCCATTCATCACTCTTTCAGGCAGCCAATCAGAGGCGACCATGAGTTGACTTCGGCCAGTAGATTGGATCGTCGATTTGTGGTCCTTTGGATAGGGCATTTTCCAACTTACGCGTCATGGTTCCTACGTCAGGGGCAGCCGGGAAGAAGAAGCGGTCGTCGTTGTTGTCTTTGACCCGTCGCAACGCGGAGATCCAGAGCGAGGCGGCTGTCTTGCGGCAGACTGATCGTCAGGCAGAAGAGGTTAATCGAGCAGCAGCGCAGGCCAACGACGTGGCTTATCAGCGTCGGTTGGCATTGGCGAACAAGATCGTGGCGCTGGCGGAAGCGCAACAGGACGAGTTCGATCGATGGGTGCCTGAAGCGCCGGAAGACTATACGGTGGGTGAGTACCTCCAATGGTATTCCGCACAGCCGGGTCTGTCCATGAAGTCTAAGACACACCAAGAGGCGTCCGTGGCCGCGTTTCGAGCGGAGAGGAAGATGAAAGCCAGCGTGCAAGGCCTGGACTCCGATGAGGACGAGGGCAAGGCGATCGATGAGGATGGAGAAGAAAACGAGTGCAGCCGTAGCGCGTCGGACGACGAAGACACCGAGTCAGAGGTGGAGCTCCTTGTCACCTGTGTAGCTGGCTCGTCCGGTTCCAGCACGAAACCGTTGAGTCGGTTGAAGCGGCCGTTGCCCCCGACGATATCGACTGTCGCCCAATCCCACAAGCGGATGAAACTCCACGCGAAGCCGGCCAGTTCGCTTCGCATCAATGAGGAAGGGGTGAAACGTCTGGAGCACATCCGACATTCCTTTCTGAGGCCGTGAAGAAGGCTTACATCACAGCGCGTGATCGGAAACCGTGGGAGCAATGGGTGGAGAACTTTGTCTCGTTCGTGCCCGGTCAGACGAAGGCTGAGCGGTCGTGGAATTACAGCCTACGACGGCGAGGTTATTTGGAATCGGTATTTCTGGATCGGATGTGGTACTGCCGAGGAGGGATGTCATGTACGTCGGTCACCCTTCGGTTGTTGTGGTGATGCGAGGGTTTAGGTCCATGTTTCGTCCAACGATCCCAAACACAAACAAGAGAAAGCCAAGAACGAGTGGGTAAGGCTGGCGTCTGAGCTGCATAGGTTCACCGGGGCGTCGGTGTTCCATTTTCTGTTTCACAATGTTCACCCGTATTGGGCCGAGATCACACAAGAGCCGTACAGTCTGGCGTCGATGCAGACCAGCCTGGGCGAAGAGGAGACCGTACGATACACCGAGACGCACGGGACGAGCCGATGGCCCGAAATCGTCGCGTTTTCGGGAGGCATGCGTCTACCACGTTTTTAGGCCTACACGTTCGACCCAGCCGCGATGCACGAGACGTGGGCTTGGGACTTCTTCTCTGCCCAGATGCGACTCAAGAAGCCGCCAGGTTGGGTGGGTTCCATGTACGACGAGGCGAACTCGGGCCTGGCGGTGCGCTATTTAGATATGCACAGCGCTACTCAGTAGATCACACACATACATATCTAGCTAGGTGGTAGGCGAAAAAGCGCATTCGCGGAAGCAGTCTATCTTTCAATATGCCCTACTGGCCTACCAAGGTCGAAATGTAGGTAGCTGGTTTGAAGGCTGAATTTATCGGGGCCTCT